GTTCACTCAGATGATTAACTGAGAAAAGTTTAGTTTTGGAGGCGTTAAAATTAACTCGCCATATTTTACCCCAATTAACGACGGTCTTGAGGTCATTTTGGACATCGGCGGCCATTTTAAACTTGTCAGACTGATAAGCCTTACAGTCGAGGCAGGAGTAAATTGTTGAGTCATCAGCATAGATACCAAGTTGAAAGCAGATGTCATTAGAAAGATCATTAATGAAAATTAAAAACAGAATAGGACCAAGGATTGAGCCCTGGAGGGGGACACCTGCATTAGCACGAATGGCCGTTCAGGATAACTCAAATTTCACAATTCGAGAGGAAAAGCAGGATAGCACGAAAGGATCTAGACGAATGGCCGTTCAGGATAACTCTCATTTCACAATTCGAAAGGAAAAGCAGGATAGCACGAAAAGATCTAGACGAATGGCCGTTCAGGATAACACTCATTTCACAATTCGAAAGGAAAAGCAGGATAGCACGAAAGGATCTAGACGAATGGCCGTTCAGGATAACTCTCATTTCACAATTCGAGAGGAAAAGCAGGATAGCACGAAAGGATCTAGACGAATGGCCGTTCAGGATAACTCTCATTTCACAATTCGAGAGGAAAAGCAGGGTCCGTTCAAAAAAGTGTCCGGAGACACCGTGACTTTTTAACTTTCTGGAGAAGATATGAATGCCAGACCCTGTCAAAGGCTTTCGAGATGTCCAATACAAAAGACCGGACTTCACCGTATTTATATATGGCATGATAAATTCTTTCGGCATATAAGCCACTACATCAGCAGTTGATCTGGAGAAATAATAGAGTAGACTGGACTTTTAATCATTGGATGGTAATCGCGATTAGTAAATGTAAAATTATTAATTCCAAATCATGTAGATGCCAAAAAGTAAAGGAGTTATAGCAATACACAGATAATTAAAGAAAAGGAAGTTTTTTTTCTTTTGTTTTATCAATGACAATGGGTTATTTAATGCCGAGGAGATTTTTATAGCAGGTAATACTTTTTTTCAAAAATGTATTGCTGGTAGTAATTTTTTTTTCAAAAATGTACAGCTGGTAATAATTTTTCCCCCAAAAAGTATTGCTGGTATTAAAACCTATATTTATACTTTCATAGTGTTTTGACCCCTTTTGGAAGGGGGTTAATTATTTTTCCACAAGCTGGGACCCTGGCTACCACGCCGGGTCAAAGTGGGCCTGGGAAAACCAGCAATTAAATGGTGGTTCCATGATACTCCTGGGAAAAGGCCTTGTTGTCGGATGTAGTTTATCGTCTTATCCAGGACGCGGATGTAGTTTATCGTTATACCCAGAACCAGAAAAGGAAGCTGTGGAGCGTCATGGTCAGTTATATCACAAAAGGACATGGTATAAAAAAGGAGACCTTTATACAATAAAAAATTATACAAACTGACCTATGCTTAAATGAAATTGTGGGATGAATATTTGCTTCCGAAATATAAATACACCTATATATATATATATATATATATATATATATATATATATATATATATATATATATATATATATATAGTGTATTGTGGCAGCACATCCTTATTTAAACATATTCAGAGCTTAATCTAAAAATTGGACAATTTTGTTGTTACATGATATGAACAATTTTGTTGTTACACCAAGTACCAGATATGATGAACTGTGAAACAGCGAAACAGTCTGTCTGTTGATGACAATATATATATATATATATATATATATATATATATATATATATATATATATATATATATATACCTGGTGTAACAGCGAAATTATCAAACTGTGTATATATATATATATATATATATATATATATACTATTTAGTTGCAATAATTCTTTTTAAAATGTTTTGTTGAATAATATCGACAAGTTATGTTTAACCATTTTGTTAGTAACTTTTTATAATATCCAAATTAATTGTTTTCTATAATTAGTAAATTTAAAAAAGTTAATTTTTATTTTAGTTACTAAAACATACAAAATCTTTGAAGACGAATTTTGCAATTATCTTCCCTTAACCCAACTCTCCCAGTTTTCTCTGTTGTAGGCATTAATTGAATTCACAACACCTTGGGTCAAGTCACTGGATTCAATCGCCGCTTTTATCCACTGGGCAATGTGCCCTTAAAGATACATGGCCCAGTTAAGACGATTAGTGAACTGGAAGAAGAAGGATATAGTTACCTAGGAATTAGCGAAGGAGATTGAGTGTAGTATACCCAAATAAAGGCGAAAGGTGAATACTAAAGGTGTATGCGTCTGGTAGTGGATACCGAACTGAATTAAAAATAAACAGAATATCAGCCATTAACACCTTCGCTCTCCCCGCGGTACAATACAGTTTCAACATCCTTAAGTGGACCATAGATGACATTAAGCGAATGGACGCCAAAAGGAGAATGCTTCTCACTTGCCACTGTAGGTGTTATTTCAAGACTGATGTTGATCGTCTTTGATCCGAAGGAAGCAGAGGATTAGTTCAACTAGAACTTTCTCACAAAACTACAACAATCGGCCTTCAAAGATAACTGGATGATGATCTGTGCCAAAGAACAGGAAATAAGTAAGAGACTTTATTCAGTAATAAAGGGAGCCAACAAGTTCAAGTTGGTGAAGAAATGCAAGTAAAATATAATACACCTACTGCAAAAAAAAAAAAAAGAGGATGCAATGACAAATGCAGTTGACCACAAGCAGAAACAATGACAGGTTAATCCTCTTCACAGTTAATACTCTGTCCGTACCAAACAAGCTGATGTAGACAAACCCCGTACCTATCAGTGGCTACGTAGTGTAGGGCTAAAAGCTGTAACCGAAGGTTTTATTCTTGCTGTACAGCACCAATGCTTGTTAACTGGAAATTATCAAAAACACACACTGAAAAATTATGTTAGCCCAAAATGCAGATTCTGTGATAAATATTCAGAAGCAATTGATCATGTGCTTGTCGGAGTTACCTCCTCCTTCTATCCTTGAACCGGCAGACGAGCAGGTCATTTCGACCTTGACCTCTCATTCATGCTCCTTACACACTGTTAACACGTCGGAGGGACTAGCAAATCCCCTTTTTAGTTAGGTTATATTACAAACCTAGTTGTAATATACTACTAGTCATTTTTAGACCTTAGTTATCTTTAGCTAACCTCGTAGTATTTTATTATAGAGACTTTTCGGTTAGCTTAGCCAATTTCTCTTGCTGGTCTCCCTTGTGTCAAGAGAGTGATTTCTCTCTAGATTCTGGGAGGCGGTCGGCGACCGAAACGGTCGGCTCCGTAGGCCCCTTGGCCTTCATTGGCCTAGGACGCAACATCCTGGCAACAACCCATATCAGCTTCAACCCCCAACAATGATGATCCTAGCAACCACCAACACCAACCTCGACCATCAATGCCTGCACCAAAAATTCATGCACCTCCACCGCTCCGACCATCTTTATTTTCCTTGTTCTTTCCCTGAATAAATTAGCATTTATCATACATATCCTCGTTCTGTCGTCTATATTGTTTCACCGTCAGATTTAACGTCTTCAAAAATGTCAGCGGGCCTCTTGTGACCTCGTTCACCCCCTTGTGTGATACCAGGGGCTCAGGGGCTCCCGCTACATGCTATCGGGTTTCACGGTATTGGCAACCATCGAATATAAAACCCGGCATTGCAAAGTGGGTTAGTATCTGCACTGGAAAACTTTTACGCAAAGGAAATTGGTATGAAAACCACACAGTTGCAGAGATAGGATCTGTAACAATTTTATGGGACTTTACAATACACACAGACAAAACAATCAAAGCTAATCGCCCAGATATTGTGATCAGAGACCGCAAAAACAAAATGTACCTTCTTATTGACATGGAAGTCCCAGCAAACTGTAATGTATATTTGAAAATCTATAAAA